AGCGAAGTATTATGTAAGATAAGCCAAATATTTTAATTGTTGAATTTGTTTTCGTTGATAAATTAAGAATAAAATAATTGGTTTATAATATAATTTTAAAATATTAAAAATTAAAGATTAAAGTAATATTTTCTAATTACATAATTTAAGAATGTATTCTCATAATAAATTAATAATAATAACAATGTTTATTGCATCAGTCGTTCTAAAAAACATATACTAAAATAAAAAGAACAAAATATATATAATTTCAAAAAAAGTCAACTGATACAAATGTCAATAATATATTAATAATTCAGATTTTAACATAATTACTTAAAAAGAACACGGTGGATAAGGTTATATTAAAAAATAATTAAAAAGACGTATTTGAATTTCAGAATTTTATTTAAGTTTTTTATTCATCATAATCAAGTTTAGTAACAACGGTTCCATGAACACCGTGGTATCCGACAGCTGGGGCACCTACGATTTGAGCGGAGTGAGCAGCTACTACTGGAGCAGAGTAAGCGGACAAAACTGGAGCGGAGTAAGCAGACACAACTGGAGCGGAGTAAGCAGAGACAACTGGGGCGCTGTGAACAACTGGAGCGTAAAGACTCAAAGCGCGCTGTGGACTACGCTGCTCTTTGATGGCTGACGGAAGTTGGTACGCTTCCAACAACAGCAGCATTGTAAGCCAATGGAGCGGTGTAAAGCCTGGAGCGGCGGCAACTACGGCCAGAAGAGCGGACAACACCACCAATTTGAACATATTGATTGTTTGAGGTCTGTGTTGTCTGTGTCGACTAAACAAGATAACTGATAAATTCATGGTCTTTGCGAGCGCATTTATACTAGTCCATTAAAGCATTGACATTGATTCGCGTCACATATGCATTTGCATTAGTATTCGTGTTCCGAAATTTTTATTCATTTTTCTTTGTTATAATTGGTGTTTACTTTCTCTTACATGTTTATATTTAATTGAAATCATTCAATATATTTTACATAAATATTGAAATCATATGTTAAAATTTACATTAGCTATTACATAATTTTTGTATAGTTTATGAAAATTTATGAGTAGATTGAAATATCATCTATTATGAGTAATTTAAGCTAATTTAAATAGTTACTTCAGTGTCGATCAAACTTTTTTTTTTATCACGGGACGCCAAATTTGCACTCTATTTTTGATCCAGCAAAATATTTTATCTATATTTTTTAAGCTTTCGCGGCACATAATTGACGGACATAATTATTATAATCATACACAAAATATATGTTTCACATACATATATACAAAGCGCTATTGATTATCATTATTTTTTAATTATTTATTATATAAATAATATTCTTCGTATACTTCATCACCAACTGATTTCATTTGGTAGGAAAATTTTGATACCATTTTACACGTCTCCATCGTATGATGTTTAATAATTAATTTTCCAATATTGCAGGTATAATAATATGTAGTGGCAATTATTTTGATTGTAGAGATGCTTTTGTCATAATGGTTGCCTTTAAAAAATATTTAACTAAATAAAGAAATATATTGTATTTAATAAATATGAGAAATTTCAACATGAAAATTTCTTATTCTCAAGATTATTTTTTTTTTAATTTTTCTATTAAATAGATCACATTCTTCAAATAAAATGTATGAATTGATTCAATGTCTCAGTACTTTTGGGCGAAATAATAGAATAAGCTTCACATCCACTACTTAAAAGAAAGCTTCAAAGTACATTACATGAAAATAAATGCATTGTGAGCTACTATATATTTTTAGAGCTTCCTTTACAGTTAAAATTAAATATAAAGTAATTTATCTCTGATTTAAACACGAATCTAAGTTAATTATAAAAATAATCATACTAAATTTTCTTTTAATCTTTGTTATTCATTTTAATGTTATTATGTTCTTATGTTCTTATGTATTTTGATTAAAATAAATAAAAAATTATGTATATTTAATATATGTACAAATTAATTGAGCTTTATAAATTACCAAATGGTTATAAAAATAATAATATTTGCTTGTTTGAAGGTAGTTATTTAAGAAAATATTTTTTTTAGATTTATACTTTTATTTGTTCATATTTCATTTTATCTATGGTCAGTCAATTTTATTTAGTAGACAACAGCTCCGTGAAGACCGTGGTAACCATGAACCCTACAGCTGAGCGGCTACGATTGGAGCAGCATGGGCAGCTACTATGGAGCAGAGTAAGCGAAACTACTGGAGCGGAGTAAGCAGAGACGGATGGCGCGAGAAGCAACGAGCGGTGTGGACAATGGAGCGTCAAAGCGCGCTGTGGACTACCTCTGCTTTGATGGCTGACGGAAGTTGGTACGCTTCCAACGACAGCAGCGCTGTACGCCAGAGGAGCGGTGTAGAGACCTGGAGCGGCGGCAACGACGGCCAGAAGAGCGGACAACACCACCAATTTGAACATTTGAATTGTTTGAGGTCTGTGTTGTCTGTGTGACTAAACAAGTGACTGATAAATCGTATTCTTCCCATCCGTATTTATACTTCACACGGCCGAACATTGACATTTTTGCGTAACATTTGCCTTGCGCGTCTGAAACATAATTTCATTTAATAAAATACGTATTATATAACTTCAATTTGTAAACTTGTGATGAACATTAATATTCAATGCGTGTATTGCGGTTCTATATTTGATTATCTTAATCTATTTACTTCAAGAGGAACAAAAAATATAAACGATTTAAAACTAATAGAAATAAAATTGGAAACACAAAGTTACTATAATTGAAGTTAAAATAAATGTCCTTCTCGAATTATTTTACAATAATTAATATTGTTTCATAATTTTCAATTCTTTATAAATATCATTTATTTAATACTATTATATTTTAACATAATTAAATGACATTATTTGTGTATATACTGTATATTTCTCAATTTTCCAACAAAATATTTTTCTGTTGTGTTACGTTAGCCTATTTATCAATTCAATTCCAGTTATTACATTTTTTATGAGTTCATTAAAAACCAATCAATAATTAATTTCATGTAAAATAATTATAAATTTTTGGTTAATAAAAATGCTGGCGACGGAAAAACTATTAATATTTACAGATTTACTTGTTTTTACATAATTTTGTTTTCATATTAATATGCAGCTCTCTAAATTTAATTTGATTCTATTGTACACACGTATTCTTGTATACCAACAATAGATAATTACATTTTGAAAATAAATATTTCAAACAATGTTTTTATACATAATAAACACTAAAGACCGGTTAAATCTATAAACGTTAGTGTCAAATTTCTAAAATATTATGACTTTGCTTTAAATATAAATATAAATAAATAAATTTTATCTTAATTATTGAGATCAATAATTTTTATTGATTATTCTTTCATTGTTTCAAATCATTAAAAGTTTTGAACATCAAAAATATTGGTTTTCATTTTTAATAATTTAATTTGTAATTTATAATTCTATTCTCAATATTAAATATAGTTGACATTATTGTAAATACTACTTCTTGAAAAGAAAAAAGGAATTAATTTGAAGTACTATTATCATATTTAACAAATATCAACTTGTTATATGTTCTTTATATATCTGATTAACACCTGATAATATCAACTTATTTATTATTTTGATTTTAAATATACATTAATTTTATATTTACTTTCATGTACTTTTTAGAAGAAATTAAATTTCAAATAAATACATCAAAGCACACAAAAATACACAGTAAAATAATATGTATCAAAAACAAAAAATCAGAGTATTATAATAAAGAAATATATGTATACTTCAATTTATGAATTTATGATGCAGTTTTACAGTAAAATTAACTTTATCTTTATACATAATAATATTTAAAAAATAATTGAACTATGAAACATTTTTTTTTAATATTTGTATTCCTAGTGTTCATAACCAGATTTTTTTTTCAATTTCAAAAACTGTAGCACATATTAAATAAAATAATGCCATAATAATAATGTTCTATTAATAAGCATAATTATAGTTTAAGGAAGATATATTATTTTAGTTTATTAAGTAAATATAATAATATATTACATTGGTAAAATGTATTAAGCAATTTAGAATGAAAAAGTAGTTTACATTTTGATCGCGCGAAGAGATTGCATATTTGACGCAAAACAATGTCAATGTTTCGTGCTCTTGGGAAGTATAAATACGCGTGTAGAGACTTTAAATTTATCAGTCACCTTGTTTAGTCGACACAGACAACACAGACCTCAAACAATTCAATATGTTCAAATTGGTGGTGTTGTCCGCTCTTCTGGCCGTCGTTGCCGCAGCTCCAGGTCTCTACACCTCTCCTCTGGCTTACAGCGCTGCTGTTGTTGGAAGTGTACCAACTTCCGTCAGCCATCAAAGCAGTAGTGTTGTCCACAGCGCTGCTTTGACCGCTCCACTTGTGCACTCTGCTCCAGTTGTATCTGCTTACTCTGCTCCAGTCGTCTCTGCTTACTCCACTCCAGTAGTTTCCGCTTACTCTGCACCTATTGTAGCTGCCCATGCTGCTCCATTCGTAGCCGCCCCAGCTGTAGGTGTCCATGGTTACCACGGTCTTCACGGAGCTGTTGTCTACTAAACTTGAATGATAATCCAATAAAAGTCAATTTTTTAAACCATTTTTGGGTGTTCTCTATATAAATTATATCCTGTACCAAATCCTATTAAACATCATACATTTAGAAAGATTCATTAATAGTTAACTTTATTCAAACTGACGCATATTGCCTTCATAAATATACCACATACTCAAATATCTTAAAAAGAGAATTCTGATAATAATTTCAACTTACATTCAAACTCATAAATCTTTTATTTTAATTAAAATTATGAAATCTGATAGAATGAACATATTTTTGCATAGCAATGTAATAAAGTAAAATTTAAAAAAATAAATAAAGTAGGGCAAAAAGACCTATGGCCTTTTGTAGCAGTTGACTTTTTGTTTCATTATTAAAGTATGGAAATGTTAATTTATGATTTTTTGTAATGTTGCAATGAATATTATTATTTAAAATAAAGTATAAAATATAGAAATGAGTATTAAGATGACGTTTTTTATTATCAAATTCCAACTTAATATTTATTTTCATTGGGCGGAAATACCTATAGACTTTGTAGTAGTTGATCTTTTGTATTTTATTATTATGAAACAGAATACTACTTTTTTATTTCTTTGTATAGTCACCGTTATCAGAATCAATATTTTTAAGTTATATTCTATCGACAAAATTCATTATTATTTAAGTTGCAATTGTCAAATTACTATTGAGTTATTATATGTATTTGGAAGGTTTCCGATGGGAGATTTTATTTTGTTTTTCTGTTTTTATTTTCTTTTTTTTGTCCATTGCCCAAAGATATTCTACTCATTGGCAAAAATTGGCAGGTTGTGAATAATAATATTTTTAAGATAAAAACTGAAATAATGCAGGCAATATAAATCAAGAACACATTGCATTAAAATATGTACATATATAATTTATAAATGAATGAATGATTTCAAAAGTGATGTAATACAATACCAATGTTTTTGTCCACTTGAAGAATATAAATAAGCTCGCGAAGAACTCGAATATATCAGTCACATTGTTTAGTCCACACAGACAACACAAACCAATATCAATTCAATATGTTAAAATTTGTTGTATTGTCCGCTCTTCTGGCCGTCGTCGCCGCCGCTCCAGGTCTCTACACAGCACCTCTTGCTTACAACGCAGCTGTTGTTGGTAGTGTACCAACTTCCGTCAGCCATCACAGCAGCAGCGTCGTTCATAGCGCCGCTTTGACCGCTCCAGTTGTCCACACTGCTCCAGTTGTATCGGCCTACTCTGCTCCAATTGTCTCTGCTTACTCTGCTCCAGTAGTTTCCGCTTACTCTGCTCCAGTCGTTGCGGCTCATACTCCAGTTGTAGCTGCCCCAGCAGTTGGATTCCATGGAGCAGCTGTCGTGTACTAAACTTATTATTGACTTTATGATGCATATACGAAATAAATTATTATTATAGACAAACACAATTGTTTTATTTAATTTTAACGATTATATAAGAAATTAAAAGAAAGTTTTATATAAATATGATTGTATTACAACAAATTTAAATTTTGCATACAATGTAATACTTTCGTACTCTTAAATATAATAGTTAAAATTATACTAGATCCTTCTACAAATCTAAAAAATTTTAATGAAAAGTTGTATGTGTAATTTAGATTGTTTATTGTATCAATCATAGCTATAAATATAGTTTATTCTCAATTAACAGAAATAATTTAAAAAAAAAGGAAATACTTCGGTCGGACGGAAAAAATGTGAATTTACATTTTTAAATTTATATAGAATTATTTATTATTTATTTGTTTTGAGTTTTGACTTTATAATGTCAATTAATTCTAATTATTTATAAGAGTAATGGATCAATTTCATAATGTTGGTCAGGGTAACCATCAATGGTGTTAATTAATATATTACAATCTAAGTTTCTTTTTAATTTAAATAGACATTTTGTCATGTCATTTATATAAAATGTATTATATCTTTCTATACATGTAATTTTATACAAAATAAATTAGTTAAATACGATTATTGATAAAAAAATCATTGAATTGATAAATTGAGAATTTGTTATATTTACATCCATTAACAGAGAAATGTAAAGTTTATTTCTTATTTTATGAATAAATTGCATAAAACCATCATATGTTATTTATGTTACCTATGCATTTTATAAAAATTGTCATAAAATAAAATTACAAATGTTATTTTATATGTTTTTATGTATAAAATAATTATTTTAGCAAATATATTTATATTTTCTTTGATAGGACATATTTTTTTTTCAAATATTAAATTATTTTCTCATATAGAAATTACGATACAATTACAAAAGTATATATTATTAGATATTAATACATCAATTATTACATTAATCCTAAAAGGATAATTAATTTGTGCCACCAGTGGTATAAACTTGTAATTGAATAAAGGTTCTGTAAATCTACTATCTCTTACTGAAACAAAACTTGGTTCAAATTCTGTTCGCATCAAAAATAAAAATGTTGAAATAGTTCACCAATAATATACAACAATACCAAAAAAAAGAGATTGCCAAATGGATGCATAAAAATGCCATTGTTGTTCAACACTCTACGAATATAAATAAGCGCGCAAAGAACAACAATTTATCATTCAACTTGTTTCGTTGGCTCGAACCACACAATCAATAAAAACTAAATATGTTTAAATTTGTGATATTGTCCGCTCTTCTGGCCGTAGTTGCCGCCGCTCCAGGGTTTTACACCGCTCCATTGGCCTACAATGCTGCTGTTGTTGGAAGCGTACCAACTTCCATCAGCCATCAAAGCAGCAGCGTTGTCCACAGCGCCGCTTTGACCGCTCCAGTTGTATCTGCTTACTCTGCTCCAGTTGTCTCTGCTTACTCCACTCCAGTTGTATCCGCTTATTCTGCCCCAGTAGTAGCTGCCCATGCTGCTCCAATCGTAGCCGCACCAGCTGTTGGTGTTCATGGAATTCACGGAACTGTTGTTTACTAAATTGATTTGATTATATATAATTTGCTAAAATAAAATGATTTGATAACAATATTTCTTACTTGATATAATTCTCTTTGCCCCCTATTTATTTATTCTAAAATTCTAAAATTATATATTGTAGTCAATTACTGGTAAATAATGAATTGCATTAATATTAAATTAATATTTTCAATTTTCAATTTTTTATTTAAATATATGTACTACAATAACATAGGGTGTGATATAAAAATGTAGACTGTTATGGGCTTTAGCCTCTTTAATCCTTCTGTTATTAAGTTTTACAAAAACATCAACAATAATAATAAGAAAATAAACAGAGATAGAACACAAATAAATATTAGTAACAATCACTTCACTGCACGAAAAAACGAATGTTTTACATCACTGAGGGGGAGTGTTTTTTAAAGTCTTGGAGAAGTTGTATTAATGTGGGGTCGTTGGAGTTAGCGTAGGAATTAATATTTCAAATATAAGTTAAATAAAGCAAATAAGTCAAATAAGTTAATTATATTTCTACATAAAATTTATAGTACAGATATAATAACATCTGTTGCAAATATATAAAATTGAAAGAAATATATACAATTTTAAGGATAATTAAACTAGCCTTTAATCTTAAAAAAATATATTACAAACAAGGAAAACCGTAATTTTATTACTAATATATAGCATTAAAAAATCATGAGATTCAGAAATCATTTGTTTAACAAGAAATCATTCTATGTATATTCAGAATGTGACATATTGTAAATAATAATAAATCATGAAATATTTATATAAATAATGTTACTTTCTTAAGAAAGTATATTAAATCGAATATATTTTATATATTAACAATTATATTTTTATTCAAAGTAGTATTAAGACAAACCTCAAAAAATAACATGTTATAATTGAAATGTTATGTAAATACAGTAAAATAAAGTTTCGAGCGTTTGACTCTATCGGGTCTTATAAACTTTTCCTTTTAAATTTCCTCATCAGCACCATCAAAAACCTCCTTAAAAATCGTTCCCTTAAAACTAACATGCGCAACTCCTTCTCCACTTTCTTTTTCCCACTTCAGGGTATCCCGAAAGGTTCCCCTCTGTCACCTCTGTTATATAACCTTTTTTGTTGTGATATGTATAGCCCCGATCCTAAACCTTCGATCCGAACCTTTATGTCCTCCAATACGCTGATGACACACAATGGTTTCCCACGCCTCTTCCCTTCAATCCTCAATTGTTAACCTTCAAAACATCTTATCATCAAATATTTTATGTTTTAAAAAATGGCCGCCCTTCGTATCCTCACCAAAATACGACATCCTAATAATCTTCTGCACAATCCTCCTAATGATCTCCTTTACTCCAAAACCAAAATAGTCCCTCTCCTTGGCCGATACCTTTCCCTCTTCTTTAAATTTAAATCCAAAGATTCCAACATCGACTCGCTGTCTAAATTCTGTGCCCCTCTAAACCTTCCCAAATTTAAATATCCCACATTACCGAATGTCCCTTGATTTAAACCCTTCTAGTTGCAACTCTGCTGCTTTTTTTTTGTTTTTCCATCATTCTTCTTATTTTCCATATGTTTATATGTTTTATTGTTCTATAATTAAATTTATGTTCCCGGGCGGTAAGACCTCGGTCGATAGCCCTTTAGCCAGCGTGTTCATATTTTTTTTGTTAATTATTTTAGAATTTATTTACTTATTTTGAGAGTTATTTTTATTATCATTTATTTATTTATAGAATGTTTTTTTTTTGTATTTCCTGTCTGGCCAATAAATTGTTATTAATAACTTAATTAATTAATAGAATTCATGGTAATCAATAAAACTCGAATAAAGTTAAGTAAACTTATTTGAAATGAGATGTCTGTTTTAATTTAAATTAACGTCTATAATTATTCAATGCAGTTTAGGAATTTGAAAAAACCGGACCTAAAATATCCAGTTTCAACGCCAAATTAAATTAAAAGTGACATGTAACAAAAAGTTTCGTAAATGTATTTCTTTTAAATTAAAAATAAAATAGTATGATTACAAAATAGACTGTAAATAATTCCAGTTTTAAATACTTTACGAATATAAATAAGCTCGCGAAGAATACAAATTTATCATTCAACTTCTTTCGTTGACTCGAACTACACCAGTAACACAAAATAAAGATGTTTAAATTTGTGGTATTGTCCGCTCTTTTGGCTGTTGTGGCTGCCGCTCCAGGCCTTTACACCGCTCCATTGGCTTACAATGCTGCTGTTGTTGGTAGTGTACCAACATCCGTCAGCCATCAAAGCAGCAGCGTCGTCCACAGCGCCGCTTTAACCGCCCCAGTTGTCCACACCGCTCCAGTTGTATCTGCTTACTCTTCTCCAGTTGTCTCTGCTTACTCCGCTCCAGTAGTTTCTGCTTACTCTGCGCCTGTTGTAGCTGCCCACTCTGCCCCAATCGTAGCCGCACCAGGTTTCGGTGTACATGGAATTCACGGAGCTGTCGTTTATTAATTTTTTTAAATTATAATCCTGCATTGAACTAAATAAAATAAATTTATTTTAAGCATTCTATTATTTCCTACAAACAAATTATCACAAAATCCCATATTCACAATAATTAAATAGTTTATATCTATATTATATAAGTAGTTAAACTATTTTCTTGATTTCTTTGACACAATTAATAAATAAATTAACTTTACTTCTATTTCAATGAATATACATTTGTGATTAAGTGCACATTAAATATAGTATATTTTAACTACTTTTATTTTAATATCTTTATACCTTCTTTAAAATTTTATTACAATAAAAAAATACTGAATAAATTCATTAAAGAGATTAAATTCTTTATATAAAGAAAAATATATTTTTAATTATATCACTGATAATTTTTTTACGAAATTTTATTTTCAAATAATTTCTTGAACTAAGTATTTAAAACATAATTTTCATTATAATTATATGATATAAAAATACTAAAACCTTGAAGCTGCCGTTGATATTTTGTAATTTCATAGTAAACGGAAGTCGAATTATTATTTGCTCAGTTTTAAACGTTACTAAATTTATATGTAAATTTGATTAACAAGTTATGTAGGATTTACTGTTTGTTGTGAATAGGAGTTTTCTCTAAACAATAAACACATTAATAATACAAATTAAATGAACTAATTTGCATAAACGATTACACACATTCATAATTATTTTGTTTTCACGCAATAAAAAATTAATAGATTTATATATAATTATACAAAATTAGTTTTCAGGATTTATTTCTTCTACTAAATTAGGTTATTAGACTTATTTTAATTTTATTTCATCCTGAATGAAAAACAACGTAAGGACAGTTATAAGTTGATTTTTTTATAATATAGTCTATAGTAATTATAAATAAATTATAATATTGTTAGTAAAATATTAATTTGTAATCAAATGAAAAAGCATAGCAAGTAAGTGTCAATTTTTTAATTATATATGGATAATAATTTTGTGAAATAATTTTCTAAATACTTTATTGATTATTAGTATATAACAGAAGTTGGTGATTTGTGGCTCGTTTGATGAGAAATTGCGGCTCCTAGTTCTCACAACGGTTACTAACTTGTAAATTTTTAATAGAATATATTTTTAAAATGGCTCTGCTTCAAAAAGGTTGCCGACCCCTAATATAAAATACTTTTATTGATCAAATTCACCAAAAAATATTTGTAATGAATAAATTAAGATAACTACATAAAATAGTTTTACGTATAAGATATAAATTTAATAATGTTATATTTTACCATAGTCAATATTTCTCTCAATTATTAACATCTAATATAATTGAACTTAGTTATAACTTTTTTCGATTTGTTATTCAATTCAATTAATAGTATTTTTGATTATCAACAACAAATTATCAACAAATATTTGTTATTTTTGCTTAAGAAACCCAATTTCAATTTGAGTTAAAAAAATGTATTGCTAGAATTACTATAATGATATTAATTTAATTAAGAAAACTTATAATTAAAACATTATTATTACTTTTGTTATAACTTATAATCCATTTATATATTCTTAGATATAGTAAAAAATTTACTCAATTTAGTAGTCCTTGTAACAACCAAATTTAATTAGTTTATGATTCGAATTTTTTTTTATTGATTCTTAATGTTTTAAATATATTCAAAATCAATTTAATTTAAAATATAATAATATTACAGGAAAAAAAACTAATTAACATTAAAAACATATAGATTATGTCTTGTATCAAATAATTTCAATTGCTGTTATTGAAATAATATTTGTAATAATTCTTATTTCAAATAGTTTATTGAATATAATTGAAAATATCGAAACGGAACAATGATTCGATAAAAAAATCAATTACTTAATGCGTACTCAATTTAAAAAATATAATAGGAGTTGAGGCGAGTAAAGTGAGCCACTAATTGAATGTTATGTAAAGGTTTTGTTTAAAATAATGACCAATTCCATATAGCATTCATTAAATTTGGGATATTTAATATGTAATGATGCGTGACTGCAATACGCAAAAAGGAATGCTACGGTCACGGTTAGTAAATAACAGAAATACGTATCTAATTTATTTAAATTGTATTTTTACATTGCGTAGGGTGAGCCAGATTTTGACTTCTTGAATCGGTAAGAGGAAGAGAAAAATGTAGCGGCTACCTCGAGGTACAAGAGCGGAGACCGAACGCAAGGCTGATCGTAATTTTTTTCTTCCTCTTCTTTTTTTCCTTCGGAGGAATGGGCAAGGTTCTCTTACGCAGCGCGAGTATAAATTGGGTGTCTGCCACCGAAGAAGTCAACAGTCAACTCATTCAGTCGACCAACACAGACCTAAACCAACTACAAAGATGTTCAAATTGGTGGTGTTGTCCGCTCTCCTGGCCGTCGTCGCCGCCGCTCCAGGTCTCTACACCGCTCCTCTGGCTTACAGCGCTGCTGTCGTTGGAAGCGTACCAACTTCCGTCAGCCATCAAAGCAGCAGCGTCGTCCACAGCGCCGCATTGACCGCTCCAGTCGTCCACACCGCTCCAGTTGTATCGGCTTACAGCGCTCCAATTGTCTCTGCTTACGCTGCTCCAGTCGTCTCTGCTTACTCTGCCCCAATCGTAGCCGCCCATGGAGCCGCTGTTGTAGCTGCCCCAGCTTTGACCTACGGAGTTCACGGAGTCCATGGCATCCATGGAAGCATCGTCTACTAAATTAGTTTGACTTTTCAACAAAAAAAATAATACTCATTCAATTAAATTATACAAGACAAAAAAATCTGATGCAAAATGAGAAAAGCCATAATGAATATAAAATAAATGTGATACTATGAAAGAAATACTTTAGTTTGTTTATACCTTCAACCATAATTCCAATAACCACAACATGTTTGGTATTTCATAATAATAAGCTTATATTTTCTAATAAATATTAACTCCTATTAAATAGTATTATTACAAGTTATCAATTCCCATTACAAACTATATAGTCTGATGCAAATATGGAAAACTAATTTTTTTTTTCACGATACTAAACCTTTTTTGAATATTCATATTAATTTTATTTTTTCTAATTAATCAAAAATAAATATATAAGTAATGTCAATTTATTATTTAATCACATTAGAAATATATATGAGTTACCAATTTACCTTACTTGTTATAATATTCGTTGATCTTATTATAATGGTACTTAATAACATTGCTAAGAAAGTATTTATTTATTACTAAAATGTATTTCAAATATAAATTTATATAAATATCTGAAGTAAGTCCTTTATGGAACACTTATTAAAAAATAATTATATTTTAAGAAGATCTATGAAATATTATAAGAAATGTATTTAAGTAATCGCAAAAATGTATATTTTTTATGTCGTGTAATTTTATTTACTACCTGTTCATCAATGTGAACATTGAGTAAATTTAAGATCGCGGTTGACATCTTTCCCGGTGGAGAGTATATTTACTTAGTTCTTAGTTAAATAGCACTTAAGATTTATCAAAAGATATTTTTTATTAAAGTACTCTCCATATTTGTAAAACATGTGTAATTTTTAATAAGATAAGCTACAATGTCCATATTAAAATTTGTAACATTCATAAAAATGAATGATGAAATTTAATAACAATTTATTACTTTTAATTCCCTTGTTTTCATGGATGGTTTTAAAAACGGCGACACTGTTGTATCTAAAAATAACAATATTATTGTAACTAATTTACCATGTTACATAGAATAACAATTATTTTCTAAATATATTCGTCCAATTTTTGACTACTTCTATAGAAATTTATATTTTTATAATACCAACTGATTTTGATTATCATGACATTACAAAATAACATTGTTTTATGCATTATTATGCATATTGTAAATAAATATATACAGTAGAATCTCGGTTGTCGAACATAATTCGTTATCAAAAGCGTTGTTCATCGACATTTTATTTTGGTATTATGTTCGGGAACCGAGGTATTCGAAAACTGAAGTTCCAATATACTTTAAAAATTATTTATGATTGATATAATCAATAAAATCATAACATTTGCATAACTATCTATAAATTAACATTCTTGAATATTCTTTGAATAATAATTACGTATTTGTTCGATCGTACCGATTTGACTATAAAGATTCAATGCAAAATTAAAGAAAACGACTGACTCATAATTAAAATACGTCAACAAGTTCGATATAATTAAACGTTAAGAACGAGTATTCCTTGGAGGCAAATTTAAAAAAAAAAACTCAGTTTCAATATTAAATACATATAAAATCTGAGGTAGTATTATTTTATTACCGAAGTGCATATGCAAGGTAAAATCGTGTTTTAAAAAAATAGTAACGTATTAGGGTCACCTAGAATTTGAACAAAAATAAATAATTGTGAGGAATTGCATTAGTACATTAAAATTCATGCCATATTCGAAGGAGTCTCTGCGCGCTCCGTCTTTTTTATTTATTTCGTTCTAGTCTCGAACGTTTTTGGCGTTTCATAATTTGTTTGCTTTATTGTGCATAATGTATAATTACTTAATACGGCACCCGGTTAGAATAAGAAATTAGCAATGCAAATGTTCGAAAATTCGTTCTTGGTACCATTATAACGTTTTTGTTCGTATTGTTCATTTTAAATGTCGCCTTAAAATGCCGTGTGGTCGTCCTTCGAGGTCGTATTGGGACCACGCCCGGGCTACCAGTATAAAAGTGCAGGGTGGATGATCGAGGGACATAGTATACACAGACCTACTAAACATTCAACATGTTCAAGCTGGTGGTGTTGTCTGCCCTTTTGGCCTCTGCTCTTGCTAAGCCACACATTGCCATCGAAACCGTGCCCCAGGTGGTGAGCGCTTACACCGCTCCCGTTGTGAAGACCGTCGCTACCGCCCCATTGGTTGCCACTTACTCTGCCCCATTGGTCACATCTTCCAGCTACCAATCTAGAACCGACTTCCATGGAAAAGCTGTATTTGCTGAAGCTACCCCAGTCGTAGCTGCTGCCGCCGCTCCGATCGTTAAGACCATCGCTGCTGCCCCAGTCGTCGCCGCTTACTCCGCTCCAGTAGTAACTGCTTCCAGCTACCAAACCAGAACCGACATCCACAGCAAACCAGTTGTCGCCGTCTCCGCTCCTCTTATCAAATCGGTTGCTTACACCGCTCCAGTTGCTGTCTCTGCTCCAGCTTACGCTTACACCTCTCCAGTTGTAAACACCTACGCCGCAGCTCAAGCGTTCCCAGTAACTTACACCCAGAACGTACAGTACGTACATGGTTTGAACGTGGAGGCTGTCAAGCCCGAATCCGACTCCGTAACCACTGAGGCCAAGGAAACCGTAACCGAAAACGAATCCAAGGAGAAGGAAGACTCCCAGGAAAACATCGAAACTGTCACCGAATCTAAGAACATCGAGTTGGATGAGACCGATAAATCAGAAGCTCCCAAGACCGAAGAAGTATCCAAGACCAACGTCGAATACACTCCAGTCCTCAACACTCCACTTGTCAACACCTACAGCTACGCTGCTCCAGCTCTGACCTACACCCACAACTTGGCTCTCGCCGCTCCAGTAGCTTACAACCAGCACTTCGTTGCTCCAGTAGCTTACGCCCACAACCTCGCCTACGCTCAACAATGGTAAACATCCACAATGTAAATTATTTTTAAGACTTACATAACAATTTAATAATTGTTATTTCAATTCGATACAAAAATAAAATCAATAAAAATATAAATAAATAATGAGACTTTTCATTTTTTATCATGTATTAAATTAAATATCATTACAGCAATCAATTGTTGCTCTAATTATTTTTTAAAAAATCTTGATATCTTATTGTTGATTCATCATTTTTTAATAACAATACCTATATTTCTCCCAAAAAGATTCCATGACTAACTAACATCTAATTATCCATTTATTTCCATAGTAATTTTAATATAATGATAAATAATAAGATACTAATTAAATAATCTTCAGTAAATTTTTAGCTTCAGAGAAATAAAGTTACTTACTGTTCAGATTTGCTTCACTAAACAACATAGTTTTCTATTTTCTTCGTTTTGAAACATCAAATCTTATGCAATATGTAATTTAGATCAGATTGGTGATTGACAAGGATAATAACTCATTGTTAAATTAGTAAGTTTTGTTATCAAGATTTAATTTTTCACATCTATTCCAAACTTTAATTCACTATTCACATAGAATTCTCATTAAATTCATAATTTTTAAAACATTTCCATTAATATTTTACAAAGATTTATTTACATATTCTTTTGACCAAAAAGCTATCGACATAAGTTTTTCTTTCCATACAATAGTTTCTTTTTTAAAGATATTAACAAACAAAAAATCTTGAACATTTATTCTAGTATGTTCAATTATATTTGCAATTGTCATGAAAGTGGATGGAAAAATGGAACTCCTAATCCCAGAAATAGGACCTTGTATATCCTAGAAGGTATGGTGAAACCTGCACCTAAGACAAGCGATTTCTGAGCATGGGTGCTTCGATAAGTACCTACACTTCATCAAGGTTGGAAAGTGCTGGTACTGCAAAGAAGAGGACAACCCGAAGCATACTTTATTCATATGCTGCAAATGGGCGAGGATGAAGCACGAGGTGGAGACAGATATCGGGTGATTGCTAGAACCAAATATAGTCGATTCCGCTTAATTGGGACACCGTTTAATCGCTTATTAGAGGCAAATCTTAAAGAACGGAAATAAAACTAAGGAAAAAACACAAATTTATTGTTCCAGAATTTGTATCATTATGTCCCTATGTGTCTCGATGAAGCGGAAGAGACTGTACTTTCGTTGCTGCCATGTTGGACCGTCTAAAGGTCCTTGACCATCACAAGATATGTGACAAGAGTGCTATCCACTAAGGAAGTAGTAAGTAGTATTTTTTAATGGGCAAGAATCCTATAGTATTTGATTACAATCATTATCCCTATCCAAGGTATCTTCTTCTTTGCCTAAAAAAAGAACTTTGAAAAATAATTCAAAAACTTTGTTATTCAATTCTTGACAACGAAAAATAATAAAATAGTAACAAATAAATAAAATTAACATATTTTAATGATGTATATTCCATATATATTTACTATATAACAAAAATATAGAAAGAATTGAGAAGATTCATGATCTCATTTCCAAAATATTCTAATAGTAAAAAAGTCAGGTATATGAATATTTTAAACATGAATAATATTTGTAACAAAAAAAAAGTAACGAATTCCTACATTTTTAATTGTATTGTCACGATTTATTAAATGCACTTTATTGGTTTTATTTATTGCATTACAAATCAGTAATAAATTCAGAAGTATATACTTCACAAAAATAATTACAATAAAAACAAGATTATGATTTCAATTCTAAATTATGCAAACACTAAAAAAGTGGTTTATGCAAATAATTTAAATATTTTTAACAAGATACATAACAAATTCAAAAATATTTATTGTTGAACATAAAGAAAATCGTAACGATTTATGAAATGCGCTTCGTCGGTTTTATTTATTCCATTACAAATGTTCTTTAATCATTCATCATCATTGCATAAAGCGAAACAAAAGGACAAGAACCGTAATGCTGTTGCATAACCCGATGCCATTGGAAGATGACGATGCGATAGAAGTTTTACCGTAACAGAATAATAATAGCGTTATGGGCAAGGTGAAGGACGTGCTAGGCCAGTAGAAAGCCGAACGAAACATTTGTATTTTCGTCTGGTCACTGCCACCAATTCTTCGGCTGCAATGAAATATTACGCACTATTTTGTAACAGTTTTGTAACAAGAATAACAAAAATATATAAGAAGGCAATTTTTCAATCAAATACAAACGTAAATCGCAATGTAATTTTTTTTAAATGTATTTTTATTAATGATGAAAGTATCAATGCAATCTAAATTAGTTAACTTACGTCGATTAATTCCTGATACTGACATTCGTTTTTTTTTGCTACCATGTAAAGGTTAAACCTGTTAATTTGTACAGATATAAAGTTTAGTTTAGATATAAAAATAATTGTAACCTTTCAAAATATAAAAAAGTACCATTTATATTTTGGCAATTTTCTATTTAAACAAATAAATGATCGAAAAATATTACTCACTTATTAAATTATACTAAATTATTTGAATAGAAAAAAAAAGTTTTCCAACAATTTTTCGATTTAATAAAATTATTTTCATATGAATGCTGTTATTCCTCTCGATATACATTATGTTTCCTCTTTAAGGTATAGATTAAATTGTGTTTAATACTTTGAAAAAATTGTTAATGTATTAAAATTTACCAACCAGAATGTAGCAATTCTTATGAAAAAAAAAACATATTTTTTTGCATTACAACAATACCTCACATAGTACGGCTTCGATCAATCCGGATTCAATATAGTCTGGTTTTAAAATAAAAAAAAAAGGATATTTGTAAAAATAAACAATTACCCGCACTATGCGAGGTATTACTATATTTAAAAGTTAAGCAACATATTGTAACTATACTAACTGAATAGGTTAAATGAGATCTTTCTTGATTTTTTTTTCTTTATTTCTTAATTAATTAAATACATATTTTTATTATAATTTTTAGTATCCATTTTTAACATGAAATATTTCAATAAATACTTTGCTTGTATTACATAAACAGTTTCCTATTATATAATTTTGTATTTAAAATGCACCAAGTAAATTCAATTTGTTTATTACTGCATATTTTTATAAAAATAATCAATTATTTATGTTGTCCATTTAGATCTTCATATCTGTAACAAGGAAATCCCATTATTCATTAAATCGTGTAGGATTCTTTTTACAGACGAGGAACTCGTTTAAAATTCTTTGTTGTCTTTAAAGGTAGCGCAAAAAAGCTGTTCCTATATAATTCACCAGGGCGTGTCCAAAACAAGCAGCGAGAACAACAACAAACAAGAACCGCAACAAACGCTAATAAAAAAAAATATATATCGTCGGTAGACACACACGTACAATCTCAAATATCAAGGTTAATAAAATTTACTAGACATTGAACCCGGACCGAAACAAAAGCAGCAGCGCAAGATCGATTTATTATATAAAGGAATCTTCGTCGGTGTTCGCTCGATTGATCGCATTGTTTTTATATCAACACATTAACATTTAGATCTAATAAAAATAAAATTAAATTTATGTGTCGTTCCTCTTTTTCTCACGACATTTGATATATATGAAAAAGCGATACGAATAATTTTTAAATTTATAACAAAAATAAATGCTTTTTTAATAATAATAATATAAAATTTATTAACCAGAACTATATAAATAAACTATATAACAATTTTCTTATTGTGTTATTTTGCTGAGTTGTATTATGGTAATTTGTTTCAATAGATGATATTATTTATTATTATACAAAAATAAATATATAAACAAAAATAAAGAATTCTAAAATTCAATAAAACTGGTTAATTAAAAAAAAATATGATGTACAAAACAACAATTATATACAATAATTTTATAATAAAATGAAATGAAACAGATTGCAAAAAATGAATCTTATAAGTACAATAGGAATTCAAATAAGGTACATGTGGGCACTTTAATTTGGGAATGATATTTGGATAATAAGGGATATAGAAAGAGAAAAGGGTCACCGTATAAAAGGGGTCGTTATTAGAAGATACGAAGGGCCCTAGCCTTCATCTTGCGGAATGTTGATAAAGGCATTTGTATAAAATCATAGGAAAATGAAAAATTGGTTATAATAATATTTTTCTCACGATTATCTTTGTTACTAGGAAACAATCTCATAATAATTTAATTGAAAATAATATTAGTGATGGATAATAATGTCATACGTTTCAAGACCTATAAAATTTACCATATCAGGCACACAAATAACACCAAAGAAAGCCATTAAATACCTGGGGGTCTCCATTGACAGTAGCCTGACCTATGCCGAGCATATCACGGCAGTAGCCATCCGAGGAGCAAAAACAACTACAGCGGTAAGCAGGTTGATGCACAATAAGGGTGGACCAAAGTCTAGCAAAAGAAGATTGCTAGGAGTAGTGTCACAATCTATTATGCTGTACGCTGCTCTTATATGGGAACAAGCAATGACAGTTCTAAGCTATAGGAAAGCGCTAGAAACGGTCCAACGGAGAGGAGCTATTAGGATATGCAGCGCGTATAGGACAATTTCCCGAGACGCAGTGCAGGTGATAGCTGGTGTGTCACCAATAACGCTCCTTGTTTTGGAGAGAGGTGAGAGGTAGAGGGGCTCGACCAAAACGAATGCTAGAGCCAGACTGCTGCAAAAATGGCAAGAGAAACGGCACAAGTCGAAGAAAGGAGTCTTGCCTCGGCGCAAGAGGATGATGTAGGGGAAGTGCCAGAGAGGCAAAGATAATCAGCATCGCAGAGTATTATAGTGATATAGGTCCTGCATGCTGGCGAAGAAGGGGAGAGGTTTTAGTGCGGTAAGAATCCCACAGTACCACGACTCCACCCGTGGTCCCTATGTAAGGTTTCCACTCCTCTACAACAAAAAAAAAACAAAAAAAAAGTCAATAAAAATATAAAAAGCTTTTACATATATTTTTGAAAAATTCGTACATAAACAAAGAAAAAAAACGTATAAATATGAATAGATTCCAACCAAATAATATAATACTTTTCAAAAGCATGAGAAATTCTAATTTTATTTCAATTTAAAAAAAATATTAATAATTATAATTTTATTGTTTATAATATGTTACAAATAGCTAACAACCGAGATCGAAAAATCTACTTTAAATAGCATTCTATATTAAAATGAGTAAATAGTAAATGGTCAAGTAACACCCGGCACATCCACCAAATTTTAAAAATTGGAGACGTTTATAATTTCAATTATCAATAAATATGTAAAAGTACATAAACAATAATATTTATTTTTATTGTAATTTTATTGATTAATAACATGATTTAAAGCGATATGTATGCAACTCTATTTACACAATATATGCAACTTCATCTACAACTTAATCTAATTATGCCAAATATAGCAACGTTGCTACAGAACAATACCTCGGTCGCATTAAGCCCTAGCCATCATATTTTATACTTCACATCTCTATTCATATTATTTTTCGTACGCCATAAAAAATCTTGTATCTAATGAAGTGATTCTCAACATTTTTTTGTCGCGGCACTTTTAACGATTTAAAATTTCACGGCACAGAAAGAAAAAGACAAGTTTTACTTACCTATTAATACACTGTGCATTATAATTTTTACTATATACATTTCTAAAATGTGGCGGCACAGTGATTTAGAAACACTGATCTAATGGATCAGACTCTACAATACCATGGTATATATATAGTAAGAGTCAGTCGTTCTATCTTTGTCATCTTTCGCGGTATTATATAAAACATCTTTAATTCATCGACATTATTGGTAATAAGTTATGTAGACAGTTATAAAAAACTATATAACATTATATACGCCCCCGGTCACATTGAACAGCAAAATCATCCCGCAAGCCGACGATGCCAAATATTGGGTATGTTCCTGGATCTCCGACTCATGTGGAAGAAACAGATCTCAGCAAAACGGAAGCAACTGGGAATCAAGTTCGCGAAGTTGTACTGGCAGAAGATCACCATTATCACTCAACAACAAAGTTTTAATTTATAAATCAGTGCTGAAAAACTCATCAAATAAAGAAAAGTTTTGTTAAATAAACTGTCAACTTAAATACAAAGTAAAATTACAACAAATTAATGATTTACAAGACTGTGTGGACGTACGGCATCCAGCTTTGGGGAACAGCTAGCAATTCCAACATCGAGATCCAGTGCCCGTTACCCGAACAGACTGGAAAACCATCCCAGTCTCCCGTTATCCCTGCTAGACAACAATGACACCCCCCACAGACTAAAGAGACACAACACCCTCGACCTACCATGAATGAATATCTTTTTAAGTTATTATTTGGTGTCGTCAGAATTAATTTTTATTTGGGTTGTTTTGTTATCACAATAATTGTTATTTAAATTTGAGTTTGTTTGTTGGAAGGTTTCCGATGGGAAATCGTTTGCGCTTATTTTGTTTTGTTTTTATTTTGTTATCTTTTGTTTTTATCTTATGGCCAAAAATATCCACTTATTGCCAAAAAGGTTAGCAATATTTTGTACCTCTGCATCCAAACATTAATATTTCGCGGAGTACTGATGTTTGCAGAACATAATTTGGGAAAACCTGATTATATTAAATTATATTTTTAATACTTTAGGTTGATCACGTTTTGTAGGAGATTGAATATTTTGCATTTCGCTATGAAAATGTTTCATTGTTATCATTACCACTTTCAAAATTGGTAAAGTACATATATTAGATATATTTTTAGGACCATTTTCAATTTTTAAATTTCTCGAGTCTCGAACTAATAATGCCTAAGTGTGGAAACCAGTTCAGTAACCGTCATGCGACAAAAAGAGATATGCTATTGAAGACTGCATTACTTAGCCTAACGACATGAAGATTTATATCACTCTTATTTTTTTTTTAATATTTTTTGAATCAAGGATGTGAAAAAAATATAAAAAAAAGTTATATAATTTGCTAAACTAATATTGCTATATTCATATTATTTACATATGTAAAGATTTAGTTGCATTGATCAACGACCTTGCACATGAAGTTGAATTCGTTCCAGCATTTGGCATCGTTGAATCCAAAAGCTCCACCTTCGTTCCTGATGGCAATGCAGTGCTCATTCAAACCAAGGTTGTCGGGTTGCCTTGGGAGCCACCTGTTGATGGTGACGGGATTGCCGTTAGACAAAAACATCCAGTTCTTGCTCTCAGCTTTATCGGTTCCGGAAGTCCAGATGGATTTTCCCTTGCCGAATTCCACTAAAAGATAAAATGAATTAATAAACATCATAATAATTAAATAATAAAAATAAGTAACATACTGCTTTTCTCGGCGATTTCTAGCACAGTTTCGAAAATCTTGTTGGTTTCGATGGTGATAAGTTCCATGTTGTGTTTGCGACAGAACATGAAAGCATTGAAGAATCCAGCCTGTAATTAATAATTATATTAATTATAAAATAGTGCTTAATATGTTTGATGTTTTACCTTAGCATGAGGTTCGAAATAGTACTTGTTACCATCAATCTCGTGCAAGAATGGGGCAATCCTTGGATTGTCTTGTGGCCTGACCGCAAGAGTCGAAGCGACGCAAGCGACGAGCACGAAGAGGGCAAGTTTGCAGTTCATCTTTACTTTTTAGTATAGATTCGAAATTGTAAAATCGTTCTTTATATACTGAATATTTCCTGTATAATCGCGTAACTCGGTATTAAGATAAACGAACAAAATCCCTTTGAGTGTCGGAACTGTAGATTAGAGATTTACCATTATCAGATTACAGATTCCTGATTACGCTACGCTACCTGATTTTATTTATTGTCAGATGAGTACAAGTTCAATGATTTTCTAGTGCAAATCACTTATTCAAACAATCAAATACGTCGTATTTTTATTATTATTGTCATATTTTTACTATTAAACTATCAATAATATCTGAGTTTGATTCATTATACAAAACTGATAAGCAACAGAAAATTAATTAAATTTGCATAATATTGTTTCCAACTGAATATTTCGATCAAATCACTTAATTTCAAGGATATTAAAAGTGTCCATCAATTCTAGATAGTAGCCAGGATTTAAAAATCAAGAAAATGATTTACGATACCTCAATGAATCGTGTTAATGAAAAATGGAGTTGAAGATTAAAGGATTTATGTAATACTTGAACGGTTTAGAGTTCATATTTGCTGATCTACTTTTATTTGTATTCCATTTATTATTCGTCTGACTACAATGTACTTTGATTATTCATTGTCTAAATTTTTAAATATTATATAGAAATAGAAACATATGATATTTTATAAAATCTATTTTTAATTATCAATCTACTTCTAAAATGACATGAAGTAAACGGTTTTTAAGTGCTAAACATGGTTTTACTATACAAATAATAACGTACTGTTTAGTACAGTGTTCTTTTCAAAGAAAAAAAATGCTATGACTAGAATGAAGATATATTCTCTAGCACAGATAATATATTTGTAAATCATATTAAAAAATAAGACTGTAAACTTAATTGTTTTTGCTTCTTTTTCTCTTTCATTTAACAAAACGGAGTTATTGTCTAAGAATAACTCTTCTTGCTAAATCAGAATCATTTTCACTAAAAAAAAATAAACGCCGCTTCCATACGTTTGAAATCCATGAGAAAGATCTAGAAGATGGAAAATTGGGTTCAACATGATCTGAATCAAAGACAGCAGAAAAACCTAAAAACCACTTGCGAAATGCAATTCGCCAGGTACAAAATAAAGTTATTTCTCCATCGATGAAAAATAGATATATTTTGAGAATCCTGAGCGTAAAAGATCATGGGTAACTCCATCGACATCAACTGTAAGGTCAAATCACTATGGACGGAAGGCAATGTTTGTCAGACAGTTGTGAAAAATGTATACCTAGCGATGAACAATACTTCTCTTAAAATATTTTCAATATTTTTCATACAATAAACGTGTAATTTTCTACACAAAAATTCCGGATTCATAGTTATATCAAAGGTTCGTTATGAGAGCTAAAATTAAGCAAGGTATGCAAATCTGTATATATGTATTCTAGAAACCAAAAAATTTATAATATATCTGGAATATTTATAAAATTTATCACAAACACATTTTCTATTTAAAAGCAAACACACCATGGGAGTCCCAAATGATAAGATTATCAATTATATAAATCTGCAAATCATTTTATAAGCACCTATATCGAACTATCTGCTTATTTTTGTACTCGTAATCTTGTTTCTACAGGAATTATATTATATATTTCAAATATGTAAATAACATTGGAATATTTAGAAGCATACCCGATTTTATGAAACTATAGTGTAGTTATTTAGTTTAATATAATAATTATTTTCATTCATGAAGCCAACAACAATTTTATTTTTTGGGAATCGTCGAAATAATATTCTCTTTATCGGATTTTGGTTATAATAGCTGAAATATCTTAATGTAAAACATCATTTGCAATTTACGAGTAAAAAAATATCGAAATTACCGGTAATTCTTATAAAAATAATTTCGGTAATTAAAACCGATTAACCGATTACCGGTAATGCCCTAATTATGTGTGTTTATTAAAAGTTGCGGTATACATTAAATTGAATAATATTTCCCTTGTTATAATTTATTAAACGATTGTCAAATAGATTTATATTTAAATTATATTTGTTTCAATCAATTCAGTGATAATTTATTTGGTGAATCATTTCCTGTTTATATTTTCAAATATTTTATTACATTGTGAGTTATATATATTGTTAGCTGATGTGATTGTTACAAATTATTTTATACTTTTTTAAATAATTCAATCTATAAATAACGATATTACTTCGACACATTTTTACAAAAAAATCATTTAATGTAGCTAAACTTAAAAAAAACGCTAGTAAATGGTGGTTTTTAATATTTTGAATATGAGTTAATTAGAGCATAGAAATGTCTTAATTTAATTATTATTACCAACAGATATTTAAAGCTGAAGTCACCTAAACTTAGGGAGTTCTTTTAGCTACAGCATTTTCTTTGCAAGAAGAATATTGATTAATTTTTGCTTTAGTGGCATTTTCGACTTTTCAGTAATAGTTCAGTATCAAAGTCTAAAATGCACTTTGTTTTCTTCAATATTCAAATATGACACAAATAATTTTATACGAATCAATTTTTTTTCTCAAATTGTTTTAACACAATATGTTCGGTGATTTTTGTCAATATAAATTACTATTATTTAATATAGGCAGAAAGTCTTTGGTCAATAGACACTTATATACTTATTATTTCATCAAAAATAGAATCATATACTCTTACCAGTATAATTTCGAATAAATAAAATAAATATAAATACGAAACATATGTTTCAAATATTGATTAAAATGAAATCAAAGCAACGACTAAGCAATAAAGTGTATTAATAGTGAACGATAAAGCCCATAACAACAATTAAATGCAATTACTCGGACAATCACTTAAGATACTGCAATCTAAATCAATATTTCTGAGGTCCTTCAAATGATATGATACCACCAAAGGAGTATATAAACCCAAAAAAAGTTAATTTATATATTAAAAGAAAACAGCTCAAAATGAACTGCAACTTGGTTCTCATCGTTTTGGCCGCTTGCATCGGTTCAATCTACTGCTATCCACCAACATCTGATATTCAAACATCTCTTCATCGATTCAACAACAAGACTTATTATATCGAAACCCTCGCTAAGGTAAGTTATAATTAATTTGTTTTACTTTCTTAAATTTAAATAATTTGGGTTTAGGCTGACTTCTACAGGTCCTTCATGTTCTGCCAAAAAATCAACATGCGTTTGGTGACCGTCGACTCCAACGAGGAATTCGAGAAATTGGTTGAGCTCATCAAGAAATCAGGTGATTTGGTTAAATTTGCTAAAAAAAGTAAATGTTATAAATTGTTGTTTATCCGTGTTGCAGTTAGCTTCACTCATGGTGCTGAAGTGTGGACTTCTGCTACAGATTTATCTGTGGAAGGTTCTTTCCTCTGGATGTCCACCGGATTGCCAATGAATGTTGACAAGTGGTTACCTAAAGAACCTAACAACGCTGCTAACTCCGAGCATTGCATGGCTTTCAGGAACGAAGGTGATACTATCGGATTTAACGATAACAAATGCTGGACCGAAAACTACTTCATCTGCGAATCTGTACCAAGTCAATGTTAATTAACGGATTTGATATGAAATAAATCACATATTACATTACTTACGTTCTTATAATTATTTCCTAGTGAAGCGATTCGTAATTTTAGACATCTGGGAATACGGGCCAGAAGAATAAGATTGAGAAGTGTTAACACCATTAAGAAATTCATCAGCAATCTCTATTCTCATTTTTTATTCATATATTGATACGTCGCTTTTAGATCATTATTCCTTTATGTTTTCCTATATCATTACTATCATCTCCATTTACAATAATAACTTTCTTCACCTTTGCAACGAGTCTTCAGTAACATCAGCTTATATAACATCTACATAAAATCTGCACACACCATTTCATCATCATTAACATCTACAAAATGCAACTTATACGTGATGATTAACGGAGAAATCCATCACAGTAACAATCCATAACAAAACATCTCCGATATGACTATCCCCAAGTAGCATATCTACTAAGTCAGGGGTCGCTAAAGCAGTCGATAGGAGTTATGATTATTCAAGCTTGGATAGTTCTTTTAAGCTTTATGCTTGTCATATAATAATGGCATAGGGTCGATAAAAATGTCAAGAGAGTCAATAAAAATTTAAAACCCAAAAGGTCAAAGAAGTTTGGAGACCAAATCAGTCTCCTTACTATACTTGTAATAACTATACTAAGGAAATAAAGATAAATTTGAAGTTGAATTCATTGGCAACCCTTGGTTTAAGCAACAATTATATTATTAACTTCTAACTTATGCAATTATTGTGCGTAGTTCAACTTGTACCTACAGATGATCTTTATCAATTTAAGAAGGACGAATCCTATGATATCACCATACCTTTGGATTCAACAAAAGCAAGCTAAAACTATTTTGTAGATATTGCCATTCATTTGAATTTAACTACATCAAATGCCGAGTAAAACAATTTAATTTAGAAATCTGTACCATTAATTATCTTTAATGTGAAATAAATAACATGTTCTACAACCTACTCTCTTTTCATTGTTACCAAATGAAGCGATTCGCAGTTTTATTTATATACACACACAAAAAGAGGTAAATACCATTAAAGCGATCGAATGGTTTCGAGCAGGAAATCGTCGTTTTTCCGCACGCGACGTTTACGTAAGTATTTCACCCAGAATAAACCCGTAAATAACAAGATAGTATTTTTTTATTGTTCACGGTGTATAGCTGAAGTAACAAATATTTCCTACACAATTAATTTACATCCTAATATGTACATAATAACATTGCTTATACAATATTTGCATTAAACTAGTTTACTGGCTGATGACTACAACAGCAACAGATTATTTCCATTCAACATATAAACAATAAGAAACATACATTCTAAAATGATTTGATTTGAAATTATAATAAAGTTCTATATATATGTAAAAAAAAAGTCGAAACAGAATATGTATAACAGTCAAAGGAAAACTTAAATATCTTATATAATAAATATTAACATCTAACAAGTATATAATGTTATTATTACTTCTTTGATAAACTATTCTCACTTTTCTTTTATACGCGAAAATTCGAAGTCGTTCTGCAATATCGTTTCTGTGCTATCATCTAAATTGGTAATGATGAAGTGAGTGCGTTTTGTTGCGCTACGATTCATGGGCTTCGCACACGAAGTAGGTCTCGAACGAGCAGGGCGAGTCGTTCCATTTAAGGCCCTTTCCATCACGATTCCACAGCTCCATGCAATTCTCTTCCTCGCCGTTCTCGTATTGGAAATTATTTGGTTCGCCTGCGTTCCAATTGGTGAAAGTGATCGGTCTGCCTGTGGACATCCAGAAGAAAGAACCTTCTTGCGCCAGATCGGTACCAGAAGTCCAGAAGTGCTCGTGGCCTAGACCTATAACCAAAAAAAAACAACACCAATAAATCAATACATAGTTGTTGTTTAATTTTCTATTTGTTTATGCGTAACTCATGCACTTATATAAAGGTGGAAATAATAAATTCACGATCGTTTTTTTCATTTTACAGTTCGCGCCTAGCCGTCTTGCGAGGATTTGAATAAAATGTGTTACATAATTCTGTTTACATACTAGTTTTGCTACCGCGTCTAATGGTAATCATCGAAGTATTCCAATCATTTTATTGGAGAGAGGCGCGACTGAGCGGAATTCAATCTCTTTTTCTTTCTTCCACTCATACAAACTCTTAAATTAAATATTAGATTTAGAAAAGCATCATCCTAGATCCAGTTCAAGGCTTCGCTCCGAGAATCCTAGCTATCCTTAAAGAAGAGGATACTATTCATCGACATATAAACAGCACCTTGAAACGGTTCTCTCATTTCTGAGCAACCTTCGATCAACTCTTGAACTCGCTCTGGTCTCGATCATCTGCACTAACTAGCAACCACAACAATGTCGAAATGGCACTTAAGATCTCCGTGATACTAGAGCCGTGATTCGCGAATTGAATTAAATCACTTTCTCAAAAGAAAAGAACTCAAATTTTGTAGGTACGATTTGCATTTTTTCGGACGCATCTCGGCAGGTGTTATTTATTGGGACTTTCTAAAAAAGGAATATCGACGGAGCTCAAATAAATTGAGAAAATAAAAACTCGGACACAATCAGGACTACGGCGTGTAATTAATTGAAAATTTCTCTTGGACCCAGTAACAAAAATAAAACCGGAATTTATGCAACGTACGGATTTTATTTCCTCGTAAAATTATTCTTCGAGTTCGTAAGCAATGCGACTTTCTTTCCACGTGATTATTTGTACATTAAACTAATGAATTCTTATTTTCCCATCATCATTCCTTTATGGTTAATTATATAAATATACTCTACTGTAAAAAAAAAGTAATTGATGACCATAAAATATACTTTTCTTTTTACTAAATGATCAGTAATTAAATTAGAATTATACAAATGATCATTCTGATAGTCTTAATTTATAATAATTATATTTTTTATATACCATTAAGTAAGAGCAAAATATTCGTCCAAATTAGATTTAGAACAAAAATACTCTTATCCTCAAAGAGCGTAAGACTAACTTTCAGGCGTTATTTCTTAATTGCATGTAATTTTAAATCATTTTCACTCTCGGAGTAATTTAACATAAGATTTCTTGCACAATAAAACTTTTTCTATACTCAAATATAATAACAGTAATATAAATTATATAATTTACATTTTAACTTATCTTATATTTAATACATTAGTTCTCAGCGGATCTTCAGTATGGGAATATTGTATTCCAGATGTAAAAAGATGTAAGATTAGTATTATCGAAAACACTTAGATTTATTCATTTTATAATATTTTTGGAAATATTTTTTTTTTGTAAAAACTAATAATAATGTAGTAAAATGTTCTCATAATTTCTATTGAATAGAATATAAATTGAAATAAATATGAAATATTTACCCAAATTAGGATCAATAAAATTTTGTAAATAAAAAAATGCAGTGATATTATTTTTTAATTAATTACTGATAAAATTTTAAAATTAGTTTTAAAATAGTTTATAAATTATTACTAAAATAATATATTGCCTCTATAACGTCTCTCGAAGAATTCGGTTTGCGAACAAATTAAATTCTAAAGTTATTACTAATGTTTGAATATTTTATCAAATATAATTAATAATAAAATAAACTTTATTAATTTCTAGATTTGATTGCAAATTGTAATAATTATTTTTTTAAATCGGAAATGAAAGCTATAAACGAAATAATATGTCTACAATTAAAAAAAAAGCATGTAAACTTCCCGTTACTAATTAAATATAATACAAACCTGGAAATAATAACATCTAATAATAAACAATAAACAAATAGAAAGTATAATTACCAAAGTCCTTAATGTATTTCTCGAGCTTGTCGTTTTCCTCCTGGGAATTAATGCTAGCCAAATGCATACCGTGGAATCGGCAATACTGTGTAGCTCTATAATAGTTCGCCTGAAACCAAAACCAAAAGATACGGGTGAATTGAAAATGCTTTCGGCCTGACGCGAAAATTACAGGTTTTCCTGATCAAATGCAACAAAAAATAATAATAATAAATAAGCACGTAACACTATCATCATCATCGTCGTCCGGCTTTCAACCGGCGCACATGGTAAGTAGATTTCGCAGTCAGTTATTAAAGTGGAAGAGAATGTGGCCGAGTTTTTCCATTTCGAAAAGCGAAACGCCGCATTTATCCAACGGATCTGTCCCATTCTAAAATGGATCGTTACTTTCCATGTCTCATATTTACAATGAACTGCACTTATTATATAATATCGTATTATATAATAATTGTCTTTCTAAGAACTTCGTTAATGTTTAATTGTTGAACGTCAAATTCCATTTGGTATTGAATTATACAGAAAAAACGCTAATTGGATTAAGATGCGATTTGAGAAAGCTTGGTAATATATATGGGACGACGTCAATAAATCATGATCTATTTCAATGGTTAAACGTAGCAATAAATAAAGCATGAATCAATAAATTGCGGTCAGATTTAAGAAATACGAAAATATTTTTTTTTTCTAATAAATCTTTAATTGAATCATAAAATGCTTCAATGAATGTGTATTTAACATTCATTTATATTACTTTAACATTTCACAATTCTCGATTTCGTCAGCAACTATAATTATACTATACAACTATAATTACAAAAAAAAAATTCTCCTGCTTTTCATCCGATTGTTATGATCATTAACGCTAAGAAGGGTAAAATCATAAACACGGCAATTAATTTTATTAGCATACCATTCGAACTTGTTTTCTTAACATACGCGAAGAAAATGTCATTATGTAATAAAACTTTTTGTTAATTTCTTTTACTTATAAACTGATTTATACAATAGGCAAAATGTCTATATTAATTAAATAAATGATTATTACTTTTTGATTGTTTTTAAAAAATTAAATCACTTATAAAAATTGTACTAAAAAACAAATATGATTTGTTTCTAATTTTTGTTTTTTATGAAAATATAAAAATTAGGAGAAAAAACAAACGTCGATAGCCAAATTTATCTCATTTTTTTAAATTTTTGTATAATTGTATATTGTAGACAAAAATTATAATTATATATATATAAAAAGTAATTAACATTTTTGTTAATTGTGCCAATGAAAATAGGTAAATAAATAAATTAGAAAATGTAAACATCTGCTAAAGAAATACTTGAAGATTCCTCTGAGAGTTCTAACAAATGTTCTCTTTTATCACAATAATAGTGCTCTCGAGTTAAAAACGCTACTCTAAATACAAATGAGGTCATGGGGAGGATGCCAATACCAATTGAAATCTCTTAGAACTCTGCAGAGAATTGAAACATATCTCAGTTACAAAGAAGGTAACAGATACACAATTACGAGAAAAAAAATCAGTTAATTAAGGTTGAGAATATTTATGGTCTTGGAAAAATTGTACAGCAATACTTCGTATAGGGTAATCGGTTCCGCAAATATTCCAGACTGTTTAAAAACTAACTAATCGAGGAATTAAATACATTAAACTGCATACAGGAGAAAAACGATAATTTTTGTATAAAAAATTAAATTTCATTTTTATAATGTGGATTCACTATAATCCGGTTTGATCGAAGCTCACTATATTTTACTTTTCAAAACAAAGGAAATTACAATAATTGCTAATAATAATATTTAATAATTAAATACCTAGAAAATTTAACAATAAATATGTAATTATTTTTATATCAAATTTTTATTTAGTTATAATTTCCTGTACAATTGCAATAAATGTATAATTTTTATTTTTATTAAAGATTATGTAAAATAATGTATGTATTTATAAACAGTTATGAATTAAACGACGGAGCGCTGCAAATAATGTTTTGATTCGTCGCAATTCATACGTCAGATTCATTGAATAAATATCAGTTTTTTGTAATGTTTTCAATGCTGTATGTATACGTAATCTGCTCCACAATATAATTACATTTTCCCGTTTATGCAAATACTGAAAAATAGTAATTATGCAATTGCCGATAATGATAAATATTAATTTTCTTTTAATTAATTACAAGCAATAGAACATTGTATAATTGTGACAATTAAATTTATTTATTTCCAATCAGAAATTCATATATTTTTACAGTAAATGTATACTGTTATTGGTTTATTTACGTAACACAGCAATACCTCGTATAGTACGGGTAATCGCTTCCCCCAATATCCCGTACTTCTTAAAAACCGGACTAATCGAGGACTTTTAAACTGCACAAAAATAGACTTAACTGTATAAAAGTGTATTTTTTTTTAGATTTAATTTTGTCAATTAAAATTTAGTTTCTTCTGAAATTTTCATACCGGAATTCGGATTGATTGAAACAGCACTATGTGAGGTATTGCTGTATTTATTAATTTTAGTAAATTTTAATCATGATTACATGTGAAAATGAAAATTTATACTTTTATCAGAAAATGACAGATAAATAGAGATTAAGAAATAATTTGACTAAATATTTCACTCATATAAACTTTTCCTCATTTCTTATTTAAAATATTCAGATGACGTAAATTGAAATGACGGAAGTTCGTATCTTACTGTATATTTTAAGAGATTATCATTATGTTAAATACATAAGTCGAAATTAAGTAATTGTGGGCGATAAGAAAATTGTCTTTTACGTAGATTTTTGTTACTAGTTTTAGTGACTCAGTTAATCGAAAAGTCTTCCAAATTTGGTAAGTGTCGTTCGAAGGTTATAGCTATGTTAGGTATCTGATCCCAAATTATTGATCACCATTCCCAAATATTTCCAATCTTTATAATCCATCGAACAAAGAGTTATTTATGCATTCTAAAATCGCACATTTGAATGACTATTACATTAAAATCCATAATATTTAAGTGTAATTTGTATTCTCACTTGCATTTGTGATGTATTGTTCTTGAGATATTTAATAAAACGTGAATACACTGCATTTTCATAGAAATTCCTTAGTAATCCGATTAAATGTCTTATGAAAGTCACAGCTGGACTTCTGATCTAAAATATTTTAATGTACCATTCTCATATATTTCCATTAACATTAAAATCCATATTATATTTAAGTTTAATTTGTATTCTCACTTGCATTTATATATTTGATAAAATGTGAAGACACTGAATTTTCTTAGAAATCTCATAGAAATCTCATAGAAATCTTATAGAAAATTCCATTAAAAAAAATTGCTGAACGCCCTTTGAAGGTCGAAGCTATTATTGGACTTCTGATCTACTATTTCCAAATATTTCCAATCTTTATAATCAATCGAACAATGAGTTACTTATGCTTTCCAACAATATATCGCACATTTGAATGATCTGATATATTGCATAACCATGATCAATTTATTCCTAAATTTATATTCAAAAATAAATATCTTTTGTCCATTTCGTTGCATTGTCACGCGCATAAGAATAAAAAACTAATTTAAATAATTTAGAGAATTATAGAAAGTTACCTTTCAATCATATTGGAAAATTATAAACATCATATGAATATTTAAATACAAAATATAAATTACGCGATAAAAATCCGATGTTGAAATGATTGCAAATTTATAAATATTAAAAATATTAAATAAATTAATAATATAAAGTTTATATTACAAAGAAGAAACATTGTCATTGTCTCAAATTACATCATAATTTTTCACAATCTAAGTGAAAATTCCAGAGTAATTTCTATCATACAATTTTTATTTCTTTTTTTGTAATATTTATTTGGAAAATAATGGTATTTAATTCGCTTATTAATTCGGACAAGGAATTAAATATTACAAACTATATAAAATTTCTAATAATACGTAAACAAACATTATATTAGTATTAAATATAAATAGTGAAATAGTTACAATTTAATTAAGCATCAAAAATATTACAAAAAAAAACTACAGACATTCCTGCATTTCATTTACATTTCTTACGATTATTAACATGTAGAAAGTTAGAATGTTATAAAAAAATAACAACAAAAAATGAATTCATGTTTATTTTAAGATAATTGAATAATTAATGACACCTAATAATAATACTAATCAACAAAATATAATGAAAAAAATAAATGTGTAACAATTTCACTTAGTTTCTAACAACTTGTACAATATTTTTAAAACCACATTAAGGTGAATTAAAGTTTTATCAGAAAGAGAAATTAACAATATGTTTGCTTTAGTTTTATTACTTTTAATGCCATAAATGTTCATGTTTATAGAGATATGTAATATATGTCGTATTTTCTATTATTTTATTACAATGTTAAATGTATGTAACATTAATTAAATATAAGCAATGCAAATGCAATCGAGTAGAATAAATTAAGAAGGAGAGAGATAATTATTTCGAACATATAATTACATGACTCAAAACAAGTACATTTCCTTGCCTTTGATATGGATCGATGATTGGCAACAATTTGTTAAGAAACAATTATAGTAAATAAATAATTCATAAATTGTTATTTATGAACGTCTGCAAATCAACAGAATAATAAAAAAATGCTTTGCAAAGTCCGGATTCAATATTAGTATACAAAAGTTTTGTGGGTATAAATTGTGCAATTTAATTTTTGGTTTCAAACAGTCCACGATATTGTCGAAACAGATTACCCTCACTGTGCGAATTATTGCTTTATTTAGTTTCTCAACTAGTTCGGTTTTAAATAGTTGGGAATATTGCGGAACAGATTACCCGGACTGTGTGAAGTATTTGTATATAGTCAACCCTTTGAATAACACGTTTAATTGGTTCCATGCAATAGAAAACCGTGTTATTCGAAACTTCATAAATAGACATTCGATTATAGATTTATAATAAAAAAATAATGCTATTAAGAATAGTAAAAAATGAATGAATGCAATTGAAGCATCGTGCTAAACGAGTATAGTTACAATGTTTACCCGTGTTATTCAAGACTCCATCTAACTTAAGTACCGTGCTATTCGAGTGTTGCCTGTAATATACAAATTTGACAAATAATTCAGTTTGACTTATTCGACTCAAAATGTTTTTTATTTAATAAATCTATGCTTGTTTATAATTGTGTCAAATAGTTTAATCGATGTCATCATTTTATATAGTAAACTCGTTTGTTTCAAGGTGATTTTCGTCCCTTGCTTCGATAATTATTAGAGCATAAAATCATTTACCAAATATTGTATAATTTGTGTTGGTTTTTACTAGAATTTGGCAACAACATAACTAATTTACATGTAGACGAGGTTGCATTTGTTTTTCTATTTATAAACGATACATTTTTTTTTATAGTTTTTTAATTGCCGGAACGAAATGTTATTTAGATTATAAATTGAAATTAATCATTTCCTAAATTAATATTCATAAACACTAATTAATGAAAGTGACTACCGATTCCCACACGTGTAAATAATCATTTGCCAATCAAATGTGCTATATCTTCATCAAATTAAATAAAAAAAGAAGTGATTCATATTTTAAATGCATTATATATCTGCAATTAAGATCACCCAAAATATGAAGAAGAAGATATAGGAAGTGAAACTTTGTAGATTTCATATTTTCACGTACACAAAGTTTCTTTTTTTTTATATATATACTAATTATCTCAATGGAACTTTGATGGAGCGGATTAGAATTGAGAAATTCGTTGTAGCATGACGTGTCCCATTTAGGAGATGCTCATCCGGCTTACGCAAGGGATCAATTAAATTTCCCAATGCGTCGTGATTTGCACCATCACCCATTAAATAGGTAAACGTTGCATTCGAATTTATACAATACGAGCGAGCCTAATCCAGTTCGAATACCTTCTCGAATAGAATGATGGAACAAAAATAGTTCTTGAGGTGTCTGAACCGATTTAAATAAATTTACATACCACCAGTTTCAACGTTTGCTAATTGGTCATTGATTTCTCGTAAATTTCTTCTTGAACCGATTTCCTTTCTTCAAATGATCTTTGTAATTAATCTAATACGGATGGTTGACTATCATTTAATTAAGAATAAAAGCTTTATGAATTACCGACTTATGGTTAATTACAAATTTTCACAATTTAGAAACTCGTTTGTACATCGACATATTTCATTTTCTATCAATATAAAATATCTCCAAAATGTTTTTGATAAAAACCAATAGTTATATTATACAAGTTATATTATACATTTTTTAAATCAATTTAAAAGTATTAAAATATTTTTATTATATGGCTGTGGAGCCGCATGAGGCTCTTTTAATGATTAATTGCGGCTCGTTTAGTTATTAATGAATCATTGGTTCTACCCACGTAACTCATCATTGCGTGCAGCTCCTTAAATATTTGTTGAACAGATCGAAAATGGTTCTTGACTCCAAATATATTGGCAATCTCTTTTCTAGAACTATTCTATGTATAAATTTAGCAAGAAATACCAATCCAAAAAAATTCAATATTAGTTTCCAAAATATGTTACAAATAAATAATTAAATAATAATCATTTTCCGATGATATTATCGACGTTTGGTGGATTTCAAAACTAAAATAGTTTAAATTCTAGTTGATCAATAAAATGTAAAGTTCAAGAAATAAAAAGAATTAAATCGAGGAGAGAAATGTGAAATATGTTTCGACAGAAAAGTGTGTTAAAAGTTCATGAGTTGCATAATTCTGTAATGAAATTCCTTGAAAATCAAAATATTTTTTGTGATCAAAAAAATTAAAAAAAAAAATTAACCTTGCAAATGTAATGGATTTATGTAGGAAGAACATGATCCATAGTTGTGTTGTGTTATGTCATATTTACTTTTTTATACATAGTAAACATTTTGTGAATATAGTGAATTTAATTAAAAGCTAAAATATAACTTCTAAATTAAAAATTTAGCTTAGATAATTAAACAGTGTAAATTATAACTAGTCTTTTTTGTATAATATTTTTTATTCTTATGTAGTAAATGAAATTTTCATAAATTTGATATTTCAGTTACTATCGATAACAATAAAAAATATTTGTAATACATATTAACATATTTTATGAAGATGTGAACGTTTCATATAAATATTCTTTATTTATTGAAAGTATTTCTTATATGAAACGGATATGAATGAAAGTATGAAAATTACCTTGAAGAAAATCCCTAGGTAATACCGTTTCTCCCCATATTTTAGTAACGGCATAGTCCATCTGTTAGCCGCCGCCGTTGAGTCATCAACGCAATTTGGGCAATCTGTAAAAAAAAGTTAAAAAACACTGTTTGAAAAAAATTGAACTCTGAAATAAACTAAGCACAATTTTCACCACCTTTAACATTCTGAATATTATTGTTTCTAACTGGTGAGTATGAATGTACGTATACCACAAAAACTGCGACAAAAATCGCGCACTTTACAGCGTCAAGATGCATTGCGACGCGTTCATTCAACGACGGATGAGCGATACTGATGGTACGATACCGATGGTCCACCAGATATCTGGACTCATTCGAAACACCTTCGACCTTGTCTCGGACCACGTAGAAAGTGGTTCTCTGTGTCGGCCGCAGAAAGGTCGTGCGGTTTTACCCATCTGCATCACATCCAACATTTTCGCATGTCGTTCGGTTTACGTACTTTTTCTTATTACTGTTGTTTTCATGTCCCAAGCTGGAGTTCATAAATTGTTGTACTTATCCGACGAAATTCATTAAACTTTCAAAATTGTTGGTTAAAAAAACCTTTCAACTTACTTAAATTCCGAATTCTTAAAAGTTTCATATTCAAGCCGGATTATATCTTTTACTAGACGTAAACATAATTCAATTTCACATATCTGTATAATTAATTCATTTCATTTTGAATAGAACAAACAACTTTGAATTTTAAACCAAAAAATATTAAATATTTAATTTTGATGTTTTCTAATTTATAATGTAAACTTTAGGGATTCCTAAACTGTATGCCACGAAAATTGAAAAAAACATAAAGTTCGCTCTGAGATACACCAATATTTTGACGAAAAATATAATAATTCTGATATATTAAGAGCGCCGCAAACCAAAAAAGTGATTTTTCTCTAATATAAAATAAGATGATTTAGTTATAAATATAATAGTAAAGGTCATATAATTAAGACAATTTTAGTTTTATGTCATACGATATAGTCACATTCATATACGGTATTCTCCTCGTGAGAAAAAAAAAATAGGGAAAAAGCAGTTCTTAAAATTTTGAATAAAATTGTTATTACAAAATATGTTCTTTTGATAACTAGAACTCATGTTATAGTTTAAATATTTGACTTTAATATAATCAACATTTTATAAAGACAACTTTTTTAAGTTTCTTTTCAGCCAAGGTAACTACATTGATTGTTCACAGTAGACATTTTTTATATGTTAAGTTATCAATTCTCAAGTCTCCTTTTGTGGTATTTATTTTTATGCTGTTTTAAAGTCCTCGATTAGTACGGTTTCAAACATTACTGGATATTGGCGAAATAAATTATCCGCACTATGCGAGTTATTATTATTTCATTATATGGCTTTGAAAATGATCAATTACATTGAAAATTCACTATATTTAAATCATCAAATAAACTAGAATATACTGTATAACAACTTATAGATCACGTAGACCTATAATTATTCACGAAACTGACAACTGAGTTAATTTATAATGAAATCGAACTTATATAGTAATCATTTCTATCATACCTATAACAAGTGTTATGTAAACAAAATTGATATATCAATCCAAACGCTTAATTGCCTACAGTTATAATACTACATTATTTGATCTAACACGTAATAATACTAATTAACTAATATTCAATTACTTTTTTTTTATAGAATTTGAACATTCTTTGCACAAAAATATCAGAAAAATTTCAAGAATTATTGATTAAATACTTTTACAATTGGAGGACGTCGGTGTAGCCAAATATGTTTAACTCCTTCTGAGGCCAAAAATTTCTAAATTTCTATACAAATGTTTAGACAACTTCGTCAACTGAATCAACTTCGGATGGTATGTTCTAACAAGATTCATCTATTGACTGACCAAACAAATTAAAGGGTTGTCATTCACATTTTTTAGAAAATTATAATAATGCCCACTAGGCATGTTCAATGCGTATCCCATCGCAAAAAGTTAAATAAAAAATATATTTAAAATTTACTTCTCTTTAATTATATTAATAATTAATTTATAGTATAGAAAAACACTGGATCAATTGACATTTACAATAATTATTATAAAAATGAATGAAAGTATTATTTACAACTATTGTGACGTCTTTAATTTTTTTTTAATTAATAATCTGCTTTTTTTGTGACTCTTCTAATAAATATTATTATTAATTGACATTTAATATGACATATAATGATGAATGAAATTAATATTTATGACTATTGTGACGTATTTAATATTTTTTTATTAACTTCTGGATTTTATTTGACTCTTGCAATAAATATTATTAATTAACATTTAATATGTCATTAACAAGAAAGAAAGTATTATATACAATTTTTGTGACGTCTTTACTATATTTTTTAATTTGTTTTCAGGTTTTGCTTAATTTTATAATTATTTATCTATTTATAGGTGATGTATAGGGAATTTAGTGGTTTTTGTATTCGTGTTATTATTTATTTAATATCACATGATACAAGTCACGTAAATGATAAAAGGTTGAATTTTTATAAAAAAATACAAGAAGTTGCATTGAGTAATTTTATTTTAACTATTTCATTGCTATCTTATATAATTCTAGTATGAAGGAGAATAAAAATTGGATACGCTGATCAAACTTATCAAAAGAATAAAACTGTTGATTGCACCAAATACATGAATCATTTTCGTTCTTTCAGACAATAATTTCCTGTTTTCTTTAAAGATGAGTTATATTTTCGGAAGAAAAGTTTACTAGGAAGAGCTCCACAATATTGACATTATGATATAATAATAACGTTTATAATAGTTATAAAAAATAAATCTGCACAAATAATTTATGATCATCTAACATTTCTATATTTTTTTACAAAAATAAAAACATATATTTTTTTTATATTTATTTGTTCCTGAGATCATAAATTTTGTTAGGTTGACTTATTAACTATAAAATGAATGCGAGTGTTTCATATGTAATGAACATTCGTACTTTCTAATGTAATAAATCAAATAAAACATTAATCATAAACAGTAGTCAATACCCTCTTACAAATTCCAATTGGAACTATTACCATTTCAATTTATATGAAAATATATATGATATAGCATAAAAAATATGATTGAAAATTTAGTTTTGAGAAAAAATACTATCATATTATCAATGTTGTATAATTAAATAAATAATATTTTATGATATTTATTGCTCCATTTCATAATATTTTCAAATAACACATGTTCAATTATTTAAGAGAATGCAAGATATTTAAAGCATTGTAATTCATGAGATTGTAAAGAAAATGAATAGTTTTGTTATCGAATAAAGAAAAACTTTTTTAAAGAGCAGTCAACTTATATACATTTTAAAATTTGACTTTACAGTAGATTGTTTGTGCATTTTTTCTCATTAATTTAATAATAATTTCTTCTGAAATCAAGATTATTTTCACTAAAAAATAAAATGTTTTAAATGTCATCACCTTCGTAAATCTTTGTTTCGTCTTCATTTTCACAATGTTTTCTAAATTTTCCATTGAAAAAAAATCATCTTTTACATTTAATCAATTTGATAACATCAGCTTCACCCACATTGTCGAAACATATTCTTATCGATAACTTCGTTTATTTATAAGATTTCAATTTCTTCTTCAAATTCAACTTCTGGCTATAAGTTTTTTATTAAATATTTATGTTAAATGGTGCTTTAAATTCAGGACTATCTTATATCATAGCTTCGTTATTAGAGGTAATGACCAAGGGATGACTATAGATAATTCAACAAGAAAATATGTATATTTTCTTTAAAACTGTTAAATGAGTATTGAATTATATTAGAAAAATATTGAATGCATATAAAAATAGTTTAATAACAAACATTAGTTAAGATTGGCAGTGTTGTTTATCAGTTTTTAAGTGGATTTAGAAAAATTTGATTGATCGAACAGACAAACAAGTTTTTTGGAGATTGCATAAATTTTATGTAATAAATATAAAAATAAACTACTTAACCTTCTAATAACATTTGTATCAATTATGTTTATTTTATGTTTATGTTATTTTACAAATTAACCAAATTATCTTTTAAACAAATGCTCGGACACGATGTTTCATCATTTAGATTGGGAATTCATTAATAAAAAAAAAAAGCGGCTCATAAAACATCGCTCTCTTATTTGCAATAATTGTGTAGAGAGCCAATTATCTACGAAAATCATCTAATCCTGAACCAGGACGTGAGTCAGAGCGGAGGTGCTATCGCAAATCAATGTAATCCAACAAATGGAACAACACGAACATTAATACATCTACTTCAAATGATAAAAAAAACTATAATTAATGTTAGTACTTGACCTATACTTAATATATACATTTCACTAATTTATTGCATTGCATTAAGTTTTCCTATATTTTAATAAGTTATACTTTATAAAGACGTACTATTATTAAAAAAAAAACTAGTTTGCTATTCTCACATCAAGAATAATGACGTCAAACTTAATATTTATTACACTTAATCATGGAGGTAACAGTAAATGTCAAGACAATTTCTTTGCAGCTAACTACGATTATTCCAAAAATTTAGCAGAATACATAATGATTCCAAATGATTGCTGCCGGTTATATATAAAAAAAAAACATGAAAAATTCCTAAAAGATGAAACACAAAATTATGAACGCGATTGGAAAGAAGTTATTTTATTTTCACTTCAGATTCCAACGATGACTAAAAACAATTATTGATTCAAAATGCATCATTCGGCATTTCGGAGACTGGACCTTGAAATGTTGCACACAACAAAACTGACCAACACAAAACGCATTATATAAGGACCGATGAAACAAACAAGTTCGGGTTTCTTAATGTCAAATGTTAGAATTAGTGTTTTCTGTGCGATTCACTTTAAATTCATTTCGTTATCCGAATTACATCATGAATTAAACTGTTTTTTGTTGTTGTTGTCACCTAGGTGATCTTTGACATACATCACATCACACTGTTATTGACAATTTGTAAATTAATTGGATGTATCTCTGACGTGTTTACGTGTATGTCCCTTTTATTTTTAAGAAAGTGATTCGGTCA